CGCATGTTAAGATCACGACAGCGTAGGGATTTCTTGCCACCTTTTCCTAATCCCTTAGGTCCTCATTTAATCGTGACAAATTAACCTTTATATTGTATTTCTGGCGCATTGCTTGCTGCCCTTTCCCTTGTAAAGTAGAACTACAAGGGCATCCTACAACTCTGCAGGCAATTATTCTTCCATCCAGACGGGTTCCACGAAATAATGGGTTGCACGAATCATGGAGGATCCGCCGCTTCTCAGTACTTCTGGCTATAGGGTCTCAGCGCCTGCGGATTTCCCATTTCACAATTGAGCGAGCGCCTTCTATGTTTCATGCCGTTCTGGAGTATGCTCACGTTCCGATTTTACGCCGTGGTGCTGGTAACCCGTTGTCAATCGTTCGTTTTGAAGCTGACGCTATTTGTCTTCGTATCCCTATTTTGTTATTGGCATCTTTGGATGCAACGAACTCTGCGTTTCTCTCCTGCACCAATATCCCTATCCTCGTACTGTTCCTATCGAATCAATCAGACCGCTTTAAGTTTGTGCGCCCGATCGTCTCCTCCTCAGCAAGGGTCACCTGATTCTTCATTTGGTCCCATAGGACGCTGACCGAAGTCAAAGAGTCGACATCGCCAAGGCGAGTCCTCATGGCATCCTACAGCGTTCGTCACGTTTCTGCATTGGAAAAGGCGCTTGCATTGTACTTCTGTCAACCGGCACTCGGTGAAAAGTACGATGCCTTGCATGCATCCATGTACGACTTGGTGCGCACTAGCTTGCGATAGGTTCCACATTCTATTCACGCATAGCTTGTGTCATCCGCACTTCAAACATTTCCGGTTTGCTCATTATGACGCAGTCCAGCGATTGAACATGGCCACTCCTTGAGTGCATCCATGTAGCAATCTCACTGGCACGCAGAGTGGACTAAGTGTCCGTGGGTGGATGGATGGAGCCATGCTGGTGCAGCGCAAACAACCCATGGCCCTCTGTGACGCAGGTGTTCTGTGACTGTCCCATGGAGGCTACAATGTCTGCCAACTGCGGTACCTTATGCCTTGTATCCATTTACTTCAGAAGTCTGAATCATATGTTAAAGCCACATTCCCTGGGCTAGCTGATACCCGGTCTCTTTTGCCCTAGTGCTCGGACACATTTAGTGATGTGTCGGAATTGGTTGTGCAACGTTTTTTGTACTTCGACCATTGGTTTACCACTTGTCTGGTCCAGTCGTCGCACTCCAACTCAACGCACGATCAGAAATGCAAGTAGGGCATGCGCTGCACGATGTCTGTCTGCTTTGAATGTGACAGCTTTTTCGCGTATCGCCACATGTGAACTTGTGAATTTTGGCCGCTTTTCAATCACGTGATGATGGCATGCATAATGGTTGCATACTTTAAACGGGACTACTGCTCTGCAAGTAAGGCGTAATCCATACTTTCTTATTCGTCATCGTTTAATTTTTTTGTGGGACATGCTTTTTATGGTAATTGCGGCCGCCCATTACTGTTTTCATGCAAAGTTATTTTCCTTTCGTGTTGTTTCTGACTGCCAAATCTTTGCTTTTCCTTCTAGAGGAGCGAAACCACAAATGCACTTACTGTGAACGAACCTTTTCCCGAGTGAACCACATGCGGGTCCACGTGAGGTCTGTACACTTGAGTAAGTAGAATGGCTGATGCGTCGTTGGTTTATAGGTATTTTTCTTCGCTATGTACCATCAGCTGCTTTCTTTAACGGGAAACGTGTCACACGTGCCTTCATAGCAATTCTTCAAACGTGCTTGACCTAGACATAGGTGATTGCTGTTTTCTTTTATAAAGTTGTAAAGCTGTTGAAGATGTTCGTTTACTGTCCACATATGTCATCCGTTTAATCTGAAACCATGTTGAATAACGGCAGGAATTAGCAGCGCATTCCGGAACCCATGAGGTAGTCTCCAGCGACGATTGAGCCGTGATCCTAAGGCGAGTTTGGACCGAAAACCGTTTGGTATATGAGTGATAGGAAATTGCTGTCATGGAAGCACTAAATTGTCCAAGACCATGATTACAAACGTGTTTCATGAGAGGCTACAGTCTAAAGTATACGTGTGTCCATTCAATGTCCGATTCAGTATAGAATGCCACGCTCTTGAAGCGTGTTGTACGGTTTCAAAGGTTACCTACTGTTATCTGAAACCTGGGAATGTTTACGTGGGAATGCGTCGGTGTCTTGGATACTTTATGACCTATGCGGACGCAGTGATGATAAATCCTAGCAGTGATCAGACATTTGTCAGTGCTTCTCGTTGAGTTTTCTTTCTCGAGTCACTAATTTTGTTGCCCTCGTTTAAGTGCTGAGAGCTTGTCCTAATGATGCACGCGCCTATGTGTATACCGCAAATCACTTTGTATTACTGGTAAGTAGCAGGCTTTTTAGATGTAATCTCTCAAGGTATTCATCCTATACTCCTCAGACGCACAGAGGACAGTGATGCACTCGTGGCCCATACTATAGGTCATGGAACCACTCTTTGAGACTAGCACTATCACCAAGACTGTACTTTTTCTCTTCTAGCAAAGTTCCACGGGCTCCTGAGGCCTATACTCGTGGTCAGCTTCTTGTTAACATCCGCACAAAGCTCATACTTGCTTTTAATCCCAAATAACGAAAAAACATCCGAGGTATGTCAACACAGGTACGCCCCGCCCGCATGTCGCTGTGGAGGTATTCAGTTAGACGCTACCTTACCCGACTACATCCAAACACACCAGATCGTATCATGTCTCCTTGCGGTTCACTGTGTGAAGCCTTTGTGAATTCGACGGACAGCGAGTACAATGGCTACTTTTGTTCGCGGAACCCCTTCTATAGATGACCAGCCGCGAGCATCATGTCGATTTCTATTCTGCCCCGAGGGAAGTCGCACTTCTCTTTAGCCACATTTGGTAGGACGTGAGTAATAAGGTGGTTGAGCAGTATTCGGGCAATCACCTTCCTGCTGCGTCTTATCTTGTTGGCACTGCGATAATTGTTGGCACGCCACATGCTTCATTTGACATTGTTCAAGTGTAGTGGTACCGAATCCTTCAGTTCATCATGGACTCCTCATCCGTCCAAACGCGTTTCACCTAGTGTGGCAGTGCATGTGATAGCATCACTGGTCAGCCGCTCCCTTATTCTTCTGTTACTATTCCGTGAACCTCTACGCATTTTTCGTTTTACGTATCTATAACTACTCTGGCTTTCATGCGACCACTTGGTATCCGCAGGACTCGTCTTATGATGAATTAGGAGCCAATTGGCACACATGGATCCTACAGAGGTGCTGATTCGAGAGAGGCAGAAAAGCGATACAGTCAAAACTTCGGATGTGGTTGAAAACCATAAGGGGTCCAATAATAACCGAACTTCTTTAAATAAATATGTGCAGTCGCGCGCCCATAGAAACGGAAACATGACGAACGAACTTTGTACAGGAGGTGAACTGTGGATGAAGCGAAAACAAGCGTCTTTACAAAGTATAAAATAGGGAATCGAAATCTCCTGTGGAAAACGATCAAACAGGGTTACAAGGGGTGCAGACACACACTAGACAAACAGCGAATGTCATGAGAAGCTCACACATTGCATTCCGAGAGTCATAAGACTCGTTAAACTGGCGACGTTAGGCGTTCCCTTCCATTAGATTAGTCTTCTGCGCCCCCTATGGTTCACCGGAACTCACGAGTCTACCGCCAACGCATCTTGCGGTAATTACTTTTCTTCTCCGAATTACCGGATTTTCATACATGCGAAACAAATACCGCCTTCTTCTCTGACATAAATAGTCACGCTGTTGTCATTAAACTGATCGAGTCGCTTACAGTTTTCGCACTTGATCGCCTCAGCGGCAACCGTCACCTGTTCTTTAAGGTGGTGGCTGAATCAGTGGAGCTGACTTCGCCTAGTCTTGTCACCATCGTATTCCCCAGTTTGCGCCTCCATTCATCGGTGTCTAGTGATTTGAGCCGATTTACGGCAAGAAAACAATACATGGATCTACGACAATGGATGTACATTTAAATCCGTGCCAACTTGTGCTCACCTCCACGTAGTACATGTGTCATGCGCACTTCACGCATGTCGCATGATGAGGTCGAACAGGTGGGCGTGACTACTTCGTGGTTACGTCATGGTGACAATCTGATGGACACTGCGTGTTTGTGCCCGCCAAGTCGTGAATGCTAAACCGTGGAAATTGGCCATCACCGTTCGCGTTGGCTGGCCAAATGCTATACGGCCCGATTACGTCTGTGCGGGTTAGGAGCACCCGTAGGAGCGCTGCCTAGGTGCGGAGTCCGAAAATAGCCATGTCCCGTCGTCCTTACTGGATGTTGGAAAGAAAATCTTGTTGGTATCCCAATGATATATTTTGGGGGGCTCCTGAAATTACACTACGACAGTTAGGCAGAAAGATTGCACGGGAAAAACACTGGTGAAAGTTGGCTAGATAGTATGAGCCAGAGTTCAAACCAAGTTGTCTATTGATTGTATGCACATCAATAGCTTTTGAATGATGTGATTAGAGAGTCACATGATTGTGGCTAGTATCTTCCCTGTGCGAATAGAAATAAGCTAAAAATAGCAGAATAAGTTAAAGCTCCTACATACCTCCCCACCAGTGCGGTAGCCGCACGGTGATAAGCGACCAGGAGTAAAAACCCGGTGGGAATTGCCGGGAAAACTGACCTCTACCTGATACAGTGTCGCTTAAAATGTCCGAGGCTAAGGCACAGGAGGCATGCAGGTAAAGTTGTTAGCTAAGATACAATGAAAATATGGGAGCAGAATGTTGTAGTGCAACAAGGATGTTTAAGTTGCAGGTGTTGTCCGACACAATCCTTCTGTCCTTTGTCGACATGAGAATGTTCTTTCCTCTCCTGGCGAACACTGGAAAGCAACAAGCGGAAATTAAACTGGCAGCAGGTATTATAACACGATAGACAGCACAGCAAGTTGTTATTCTCAAGATGTCTAATACGCTAGACGGTCTGGAAAATGAACTTTTCTACCTGACCGTGTTTGCCGCGTACTAGTCTCTTTTGGTTTAGCTTTAGGTGTTGATGATTGAGGATCATTTTCAAAGAGCTTTGATGACTCCTGCCTACAAATGGTGTTTTAGAAGCTGTCGATTTTTGTTCACATGGTTGTTCGATATACGCTGGCTTGAGTCGGTCTACTGAAAGTACATCGACTTTGCCATTCCTGTTGATCATATGATGTTTTGCTGTTCTAGCGATCACCTCAAATGGCCCTTCGTACGGTGGCTGTAAAGGCCTGCGGACTGCATCGTTTCGTAGCCACACATGTGAACAAGTTGTCAGATCTTTTGGTATGTAACGCTTGTTAGTTTGTGCGCGTGTGGCAGTAAAATGCAGTTCACGCATGGATGAACGTAAGCAATGAACAAAGTTTGAGGGATCTAGAGCGTTGACGTCGATTGGTTGAACGAGGTCAGCCGGGAGCTTTAGCGTGGTACCGTATACCAGCTCCGCGACAAAGCAACCTAAATCAGCTTTAAACGTCGTTCGTAGACCTAATAGAACCAGCGGTAAGTTTTCTGTCCAACGGGTAGTGTCAGAACATGCCATCAAAGATGTTTTGAGGTGGCGGTGAAAACGTTCCACTAACCCGTTCGCTATTGGATGGAACGCAGTTGTTCTTATTCGCTTAGCTCCGAGGATAGTAGTGAGGTCTCGAAAGAGGGTTGATTCAAATTGCGCACCGCGATCCGTTGTTATGGTGGATGGGACACCATAATGTGCAATCCAATGAGCCACAAAGTTACGTGCTACCGTCTCTGCGGAAATGTCCGCGATGGGTACTGCCACGGGCCAACGAGTGTAACGATGGATACAAGCAGATGTCCATCGGCAACAGTTAGCGGCCTTTACAACACTTGTCCCACCGGTGGCACCTTGCAGTCGATTGAACCTGCAGAACGACTGCCCTGGAACAACGCATCAGCGTGTGCGTGCTAATCGTGCAATCCTGTGCTCTGTGTTTAATTGGACGTATCCCTTCACCTTCTTGTGCCACGTCTTCGGAAGTACGCTCAATCGATTCGGATCACTGAGCTCTATCCAACGGCGTCTATATTTTTGAAGTAAGTCCAACGATACGCTGGTACACCACAAACAAAGTCTTCGGAAGTCTGTTCACTAAGGCCAACTTGAGTAACTGCTTATTTGGGTTTCATCAGTACCTTCGGGATACCATTCGACAGATCTTCTTTAAGGCTGTCAGACAATATATAACAGCACTGTGCACCAGTTTATACCATAGATACAAGCATTTTTCTCATCTCACCACCATATTTTTTCGTGCATATCACTGCACAAAGCCTATGTGATTTTGCCTTCCCGTGCACCTAGTGACGCACCACCCAAACCCGCTGACTGGAGCAGACAACTGAGGCTAAACGGCGTGACCAGCGCAACCTAAAAGTGCATACCGACCATGGATCCATGGGCCGGAGAAGTTTGTCAACCGGGAATCCAGTGAACAACAAAGCTAAGGTCAATCGCAGCTCAGACAAGCGAGGAACTGAAATCCGCTCGAAAATCACGTGTTCGTTCTGTGCCAATTCATATGACTCGACAAATGTGAACATTACACTTAACGGAGTTAACAGCGTATCGACAGATAGCTTGTGGTTTTGTGACATATGTTCAGATAGTCCGATAATTAAGATTGTTCAAAAACTTACGATAAGGTGTGAAGCATTGGCTGTTACGTCTGCAGACCAGAAGGAACTGATCGCGGCATTGGGAGGGAAAATCTCAGAACTCGAGTTGCAGATTAGTGCATTACGTAGCCCGAATCCCCGATCTGTTAAAAGGCAAAAGCTCTCTAACAACAGTGTTACCCAGTCCAGCGAAAGGCAAACACCGTTAGTGAAAAACAGCAGTGAAAACAGGCCGCTTGAACGGTACCCCAAGTCTCACGTAATGCGCCAAAGCATGCAGAGTTACGCACAAATTTCAGGATCACCTCCGTCAGTAGCTGGTCAACAACAATTGACCCCTACAACTAACGACGTTGCACGTAAAAATTCTTGCTGTAGCCTTGGGCTGTCGTCCACGGAAGACAAGCCAGACACCCCCACTCGAGAAACGTACGCTCACAAGGAACTGCAGAACAAACAGTTACTACGCAACCAAAAGGCGATGACAGTAATATGTTCAAACGTCCCAGAACCCACTAGCGAATCGCTAAAAGGTAGACAAGCCGAGGAGCAAAACCGGTGGGCTGAAATAACCTGCGTACTTGGACTGAAAGTTCTCCCAACTAGTCTTACACGCCTTTCACGAAATCCATCATCTCCACACACAGGGGAACCTCGGTTACTGCGAGTAACGTTTGTCAACACGCTTGACCTGGAAGATGTTCTCTTAGCAAGCCACATGCTAGTGAACTCTTCTGTCAGTGCCCGCATTTTTCCTGACAGGCCATGGGCAGAAACACAGAAGCGGAAATCTAACCCTAGTTCGTCACGTCAAAATCAGATGAAGAAAGTGGTCCTGGTTCATGGTGTGCCAGAATTGAAGCATGATGATAGCAGTGAACGACAGAAGCACGACATCGAAGAATGGCGGTACATCGCAGAACTATACGACATGAAGAATGTCGTGGCTTTTGACGTCACCTGTCTAACTGCTTCCACAAACTACCAAGGTAGCGGGCCACGAATTTCGAAAGTTACCTTGGCTGCGCCCGAAATGGTATCAGTGGCAATCCAAGCTTGGCATGACAACAGGAAACTTGGGCCACCAGAAGTACGGTTAAGACCATTCCTTCAATTAGTACAGACCTCAGATACAGATGAGCCAGCCTCAGTTGTACCTATCTCAAACCAGCCAACTGTGCAAACAACCGTTTCAAAATACTTCAGCAGACCGGCACTATTTGTGCCGGTCACTCACAGCGAACCGAGCTCCTGATGCGTCAACAAATACAATGCTGTTACACCAACACTCAGGGGTTGTACTCTAAGCTCTCGGAGCTGCGCCACCGACATGAAACAACAACTGGGGACCTCATGGCAGTCACTGAAACTTGGCTCTCAAACGACATACTTGATCCAGAGATTGAACTCAGTGAGATGTCAGTCATTCGAAATGATCGTCCATCTCGCGGTGGCGGCGTTGCTCTCTACTATCGAGATTATTTGAAATGTGAGGCACTTACCGAAAATTCCCTTGTTATTCCCGACGCACTATTTTGCCGACTGCACCTAGCAGGTCGAGATGTTGGTTCACAGAAGAAGAGTGATGCTTGTCTCTTAGCAGTTATTTATAGACCTCCGAACTCATCAGCAGACAGCGACAACATTCTGTTAAACGCCCTCCGCTATGCTGTTTCACTAAAGTACTCTCACTATTTTATAATGGGTGACTTTAATGTTCCTTCAGTAGCATCAATGTCCCCTAATGGGCCATCATTTAAATCGAAACTCCACCAATTCATGGATATGGCAGTTTTGTATAACCATGTGCATCGACCAACCAGACATCGCAGTTCAAACAAGCCATCACTCTTGGACTTAATCCTCACTAATGAAGAGTTGATGGTTGAGTCAGTAGCATACGATCCTCCACTGGGCCGTAGCGACCATTCAGTCCTAACATTTGGTTATGTATGTTATGCCGGTATTGTTGCTAAAGAAAGAGAGACTCAACCAGTCTGCGGATAGCGTCCGGTCGGTTATTTTTGGCTGTGTTGACAAGATCACTTTGTGTTAACTTTCTGCGTTCATTGGAAGTATTTCGTGGAAATTGAGCTACAATTCAGTTTCATTTCCGATTCTGAAATTTCCGACCAGAAATACTTGTGTTTTCATCGCTTGGTTTCGGCGATCTTGCTATCGCCATTTTCTTCGTCAATTGGCCGCCATCTTGTTTTCGGATTATTCACAATGCCGAGGCAGTCATCCTGTGGTACTTGCTCCAAACTAGTCGGATACCGTGCAAATGCCCTCACGTGTGTTTTGTGCCAAGTTAAATATCACATTTCGTGTGTTGGATTATCAGTTGAGCATTTTCATCGTCTTCGCGAGATCCAACACGATTTCGTCCAAACTATATGTGAAAATTGCCGAAGTAAGATACAGCCAGAAAGAGTAAAGCCGACGTGTAGGCCTCAGCGTTTCGTCGCGAACAGCTCCGTGTGTTTGGCCCAACAACCTAGCGCGAAGAGCCTTCAGGTTTCGGCTCAGTCGTCCTCCTCTACCCGTGTAAACTCACTGACACGAAGTCCAACCGTTGTGAGAAGCCCAGTTGCACCTGGGCTAAATTGTTTACCTTTGTTGTGTCCACCGGACACTGATGTCCCAGCAGGTGAAAGTCTGAGTGCTGAAGACCAGTGGAAAGAACAGAGGACGAAATTACGAAGGAACGTTGGGCGTTTACGTTCTGTAAGTCAACAGTTAGCCAAACCACTTGAGGCTGGTAGTATACTTCGCCCTGCAAGGCCAACCTCTTCCGACCAGAGACGTTATAATCTCGTGATCTTTCACGCACCGGAGTCCAGTGATCCATCACCCCAAGTGCGCTACGATCACGATGTCGAGTTTTTACAGGGTCTAATTGATAGACTCCTCGACGCTGGTGAGGACTCGGTAAAAGTGAGGCGGATTACCCGTCTTGGAAAGCAAGGTGATCAACAAAATCGGCCTATGAGAATCACTTTTGTGGACGAAGCCAGTCCAAGACTGATCATGTCTCGCCTAAGTAGGCTGAAAGGTTTGAAGATCCATGTTCGTCCCGACCTGGACCCAGTAGACAGGGAGCGGCTCAAGTATGCCATCATTGAGCTGAAAAGACGCACTAGTGAGGGGGAAACAAATCTTCGTATCGTAATTTTTCGGGTGGTTTCCAACAATCCGCGAATCAGGATAAACAGGCTGCTCACACTTCAAGCACGCCCGATGGCTCCTGCTGCGGCCTGCGAGTAGCCTTCACAAACGTTTGCAGTATTATGAATAAGCGCGATGAGCTTTGTTGTTTCGTTGCGTCTGAGCGGCCAGACGTAGTGGGACTCGCAGAGACATGGCTGCATGCAGAGTTATACACCCAAGAACTTGAACTCAACGGTTACTCGTGTTTCCGATGCGATAGACTAAAGAATGCCCACGGTGGTGTCTTACTTTACATCCGGTCTTCCCTGCGTGGGAGACTTGTGAGCACCTACCGAAGTGACGATGGCCTGTGTGAGCTACTGTGGTGCTCCATCCGCCTCAGGCGCGGAGAACTGCTTGTGGGCGCAGTTTATCGCAGTCCCCTGAGTCGTTGTTTGGATTGGCTGCCCATTCTTCGGACCCACATGAATCGTCCACACTTTCTGCTTATGGGCGATTTTAACTGTCCTCGAATACGATGTCCTGATGTGCATTTGATGTCTGGACATAGCGAGGTTGAAGCAAAGTTCGTGGATTTGGTACTTGAAACTGGTGCATCGCAACACATATGCCAGCCAACACGCATATCAACACGTTCAACCTCGTCCTGTCTCGACCTGATGTTAACGAGCTACGAACAACGAATGCGTGACGTTAGGATCCTGGAGCCCCTGGCTACGAGCGACCACTCAG